CAATTTGAGTAAGAATTCTTCACTTCATTTCCTGTTATGGAATTAAAGTTTAATTTTAAATAATATGGTATTTTGTGAAACTTATAAAATATTCATAATTAATTACAGGTTACTAATAGAATCGGAACCGGTTATTTACTATTGTTTATTGTAATTAACCGATTGCCTGATTTTACAGTTTTCGAATGCATGATAATACACTGGAATTGGTATGATGATACGATTGTATTTATTTGATGCATGTTTTGCCTGTTTTATGTTATTACGATTGAATTTGGAAACTAAAAATTAAAGGTAAACGAAAAATTATTTAATTAAGTGGATTGATGAACAACAGCTTTACTGGATATCTTGGGAGATGGTAGACAGATCGGGTACATAGGGAACCTTACCATAAACGTTGCCTCATACTAGACGAGGTATCGATATTTTGTAATTTGGCGCTCATACCGGATGGGGTATGAGGACGACCCATTTCACCATAATACCGGACGGAATATTGAGGAATGGTATCTTTTGGCGCTCGTATCAGATAGTGTATGAGGACGACCCGTTAATTAAAAATGTTATAAAAAAAAGTTCACGCGTAATGCGGGCATTCCTATGGGCCCCCATGCATACTAGTAGGCTGAAAAAATAGAAAGTATTTGCTCTGACTGATTGCATATGAAATTATGATATGTGTTATGTTATTAACTCTATAGATTGTTTTTGAAAATATCGCTACAATAAGTATGCAATAAATGATTTTATTTATGACAAACGAATTTACTTAAATTAAGAGTTCCATTAGTTATTTTTATAATTTCTATCAACCATCATTTCTGTGTGAGTAAGTAGCGTGATATTCTTGCTGAAGTAGTATAGCTTATTATTTCATTAATAATTTCATATTAAGAGTACCAGGATCCAGAACCCGATCCACAGGAGAATTGCGAGTACGATGCCTAGTTATTTATTTTTCGTTTATTTTTTTTATTTTTCGCTATTTCTTTTAGATAGTCATTTCCATGACCCTAATGGGTAAGCTGAATTATTGTGTAACGAATGTAAACCCAAATTTATTATTTTGCTTTC